AAATATAAAAAGAAAATTCACGGTCAATTATTGACTGCCTTGAAGCATAATCACAGAATAAAATTACAGGAAATTAAAAACCTTACCTTTTTAATACACTAAAGATAGAATTTCATTGTAAGTCATAGTCGCAGAATTGAGATATGATTATTTATTCACATTAACATCATTATTGGTTATATATTGATAAAAAAAACCGAAAGACACAGTTTGTAAATATTTATTACAATGAAATATGAAAAAAGGTATTTTCAATCCTATATGACGCGCCAAGGTTAGCTATATTAATAATTCCCGCGCTAAGTCGCGGTGGTGCTTGGGATAATCACTTGATACTGTAAATGGCAGCCATTTTACGATACGAAAATGCCTGGCCCTCCTCGGACAGTTTATCCTGCCGAAAAGATATGAAAAAATACTTGCAATTCAAAGTTTGTTTGCTACATAAAGATTATCGATTTACTCTTTGCAAACTTTTTCTCTGCCTGATTGTAATAGTATTGATGTGTTTTCATTGGCTTAAACCATCACGTTATCAATACACATAAAGGTGTGAACTAATTTCGTGTTCATTAAAATCATTCCGTTAATTGAAAACGTGGCTTATTTGTGTTTGCTCGTTAGAGCTATTAATTACAGAAAGTCATTGTGAACTGAAATCGGTAGTAGTGATCCATTTAATGTAATGTGTCCCGTGCATTGCATAATTTTGTTTCTGTTCTGCACCTCGAATATCTAACTTTTCGAAAAACATAACATTTTGGCGTGAACAATCGCGTTACACGTGCCTGCTCGTAAACATTTGTTCGGGGTAGAACTGAAAATATTCGATTTTGTCGAATTTGCACGGACACACGTTTTTAAATGTACATAACCGTGTCAAAAATCATGATTGACCTCGAATAAGTGGCATCCTGTATTACGCCATGCATATGATTCAATGGAGGACAAGTTCTTATTACGGGTTGATATTTTACTAATACATGTACACTTTTTCAAGAAATCTGAAGGGTATGACATTTCTATGGTTGGGAAGTTCAATACTCTACAAATCGTCGTTCGCTTCGTCAGGGAGAAAAGTTCTCCCGGGCTTAATATAATTTTCTTTTTGTAACAGCTTAGATAATTGGAAGCCTAAATAAATCCTACACGGAACTACATTTTCCGTTTTTCGAAAAAATAAAACTTAAATGAATAACAAAACAAAAACATAAACAATACTTACAATTAGCCGTTTAATTCGGCCTTCCGCTCTATCTCGGAAATGCCGTTCGCTCGTTTTACCGTACACCACAATTTTGAAGTGGAGCGACAGTTTGCCGGGCGTGATGTTGAAATAAGTAATCCTGTGATGATCTTTCGAGGAGGATGGATTGATATGTGACGTTATATAACGGTCACGTCAAGACTAACAACAATGCCGTTGAACTTAATAGTAGAAACGTTTATAGTACTTATGTTATATCTTAGCTTTATATCTTTTCAAAGAAAAATGAATGGTAAATGAAGATAAGATTTGTTGGTTGATAATTCCTGTCAAGAAATAATTTTCTTTCGAATTAGAAACCAGCTACTTCATGCTTGTATTTCCATGAGTGAGAACATGATGAAGGTCCATTCATGTGCATTATTGGTTACTTATATAGGACTAAAAGATGTGTCATGCTCTTGTGACACAATAACTTCATATTCTGCAAGATATAATTCGGAACATAGCACAAAAACAATAAAAATCATCAAAAGTGACTCGCAAGTTATGGTTCAGTGAAAACACAAGTAGGGTACAGATCAGCAAGACGGTACAGTTATCAGAATGTTCGCCTCTTTTATTTACTGTGTTTTTATCAATATTCAAAGATATCCACACAAGTGTCTGTGCGGTAAGACAAGTTTAGACAAAAAAGTTAAGATTCAGATATGAGTTATAGTGACATAAAACAATTTTAGGCATAAATTTGCTTGTGTATTCGGCCCGTGTTGACATAAACAAAACACGAAGCGAAGAGCAAAGCGTTTTATGCGCATACATTTAAAGAAGCTGGATATAAATGTATCTATAAGCAAAGAAAAAATATTTCTAAATATGATTCAAATGTTTACATACCGTCTCAGATTAAATGCAAGCCGTCTTAAAAAGTTTTATTGGTCACCTCGCCTGTTTGTACTGAACTGATGTTGAGATCTTCTCACAAGATCCGGTTGGGGTACAAATCGTTTATATACTGTGTAGACACTTCTCACACCGCGCTGCGCTAGTACGAGTATACGCCGGAAGGTGCCTGTCCTATACTGGAAGAAGAAGAAGAAGAAACACATTTTTAAGTACAAATTGAGAATGACTTTTAGCTTTTTAAAATTCAGAAACTCAGGCATAAAAAGCAATCACTTATTTTCAACTAGAAATGACTTAGTTCTTGTGAGTAGAGGTAAGATATACCATCGAGTGTTTGTTAACCAGCGGCTAAAATGAGCATTTTTTAGTCTCATCCTAAATATGCATAAAAATTCCATGCACAAATTAAACACAAATTGAGGGGAATGTAAATACTATACAGTCGGCGGCACGAAATACCCAAATATACCCAAATACACCCAAATATACCCAACTATAGCAATACATGTATATTTATTTTTTGTTTGTATAAAATATAGATTATAATGAGCAATAGATAAATATTTATAAAAAAATATGACTTAGCCTGCTATAACTTTCATTCATTCCGTTGAAATGGGCAGTCCGATAAGATGTTGTAAGAAAATAAAGTTGTGACATTTGCTTATCTACTATATAGGTTCTTTATGAATGTACTTTTCTTTACTGGAGTTGAGGTCGCAAGACGTCATCATCGTCTTCTATAACCCCCATGGCTTTGTGCCCAGTTCTGATCCGGTACGGTGGTATACTGTGTTGCTCCCATGAATTTGTCCAACCTGTTTTTAAAGCTGTTAAGTGAAGGAGCATTCACAACCACTTCTGGTAAATTGTTCCAGTCCGAGATAACCCGTAGAGTAAAGAAATGCTTTCTAATCTCAGTTCTACATGATTTCACTGTCAGTTTATACCCATGACCTCTTGTATTTGCATTGTTCTTTAATTAAAAAAAACAACACTTCATAGTTAATATCCTCCTTATGATGTAACAATTTAAAAACTTCAATCATGTCACCTCTAAATCGACGATATGCTAGCGAAGGCAATTTCAGTGTTTTAAGTCGTTGTTCATATGACAGATCTCTTAGTTGACCAACTAGTTTTGTTGCTCGTCTTTGTACTGATTCAATTGCATTGATGTCTTTCTTAAAACGAGGATTCCAAATAATGTTTCCATATTCTAGATGAGGCCTAACTAGGGTTTTAAATAGTTTCCCGAAAGATTTCACTGTGAAATGCAGAAATGTTCTCTCTTCTTCTTCAAAAGATTGATGAAATAAACGAGTTAATGGTAAACATATTGCATCCTTAACTTCTTTCAGCACTCTAGGGTGTAAGAAATCAGGTCCACATGATTTAGTTACGTTAAGATTTTCAAGTAATTTCTTGGTAATTTGCTCATTGAACTGTACTTCCAAGATACTTTTACCAGAACTTCTATCACTTATATATGGAATATTGTTCAAATCTTCAATAGTAAATACCATCTTGAAAAACCTATTTAGTTCTTCAGTTTTTTCCAAGTCATTTTACGTAATCGAACCATCGTCTCTCTTTAAGGTAGCACACCTCTAATGGACATCATTTCAAATTTTTTTTTGCATATTATTTTCATAATCTGTACTATTTTACTGACTTATCTTCAAAATTTAAGACCATCTTTCCATGTAAATAAAAAAAATATTTGTAATTTTTTATCACCCCCCGTATTTTGAAAATCTTCTAGTCTTGTTTTACCTGTATGGTAGGTAAAAGTGTCATTTCTTACTCAAAAATGTTGTTTTTACCACAAAAATTAGTATATATGAATCAGAAAGGGTCATTTTATAAAACATCAGGCTTAAAAATGAATCTTGATAGGGGAAAATAGAAAAAAAAATTGATTTTCTGAAATGACTTGAAAAAAAATGGCCGCCATCTGACTATAGACAAAAAAGTACCACCTCCAATTATTGATATTTTTTTCAAATACATGAATATTCATTAAAACTTAAGCGCTTATTTTTCATCAACACCCTATTACTTAGGGAAATAAAGGCCAATCAAACAATTTGCCCGCATTATTTTAACAAAAAGGTGAACAAAGCATAACATGCGGAAAATAAAATAATCATTTATTTCCAAATTTCAATTATTGAAAATATACCGAGTTCATATATATTATAAATAATGATAATATCAGTCATAGAATCACAATATATATGATTTATGTCCTTAAAAAGACATAGTAGAACAATTTCTAAGCTGATATTCATAATTGTTTTGAAATTTTTCCTGGTTACAACTCTATGAAAATTTAGCGAATGATAAAAATATAAGTGAATAATTGCAAATATTTTCATATCTAACTAAGACATAGTTGAACTTCCTGAGATTATATACAACAAATCATAAATATAATAGCTATAAGTCAAGTTCCATAACCCCACTTCATTAAATATAAGCTATGCCAAATAGCATCAGCGAACTTTATGCGCCGCCACGGAAGGTACGGGTTTTAGCCGTTCGTAAAAACGGCTGAACGAATAATAGCCCTACATAAAATTGTCTCAAACCAGTTATCAATTACTAAGAAGCGTAGAAAGAGGAAGCAAAAATTTTTTTAATTATAATTCCTACATGTGTATTTTCTATATTGTATTAATTTGCATAATATTGATGTATGTACTATTCTTTGCACATGTTTAAGTATTGTTGGTTAAAACAATAAACAGAGGCCATACCTTATAGTATGGTATGGCCATTAAACACAATTTAATAGTTTGTTATTCCTCGCGTGGCTGTTCATAAAGTATATTATAAAATGTCTTTATTAGTGTCAATGTTGACCTCGATGTTTGAATAAATAACACACATGTATGAAAAATATTTTTTCTGAGTACTTGTCAAACAAGTTACCTAATCATTTTTTTTACTAAAAAAACATTGACATTTTAGGAATAATTTCATCCAATAATTTCTTAACATTTGTGACTCTTGGCAAGCCTTCAGAATTCTTAGCTGTGAAAACATCCCGTAAAGCGTCCTCCCCACCGCGACTATACAACAGCTTTAAATGTGACAAATTTAATCCAGATCCTGCAATGTTTTCAGCAGTAGGTCTTTTCATTACTCCTGTATAAATCAAAGGATTCAATGATGGTAAATTTGAAGCTTTAGCCTTATTGAACATGATGTTGTTGGCTACTGCTGATGGACTGAAACTATGTTCCATCAAATCTTTAGTTGGGAGATTCACATGCTGAATTAACTTTCCGAGTGCTTTTACATCTTCAATGGCATTATGTGCATCATACACTTCACCAAGAATAGTGGATACAAGGTCAACTTGTTTCAAAGATTGCTTAGGATAAAGTTTTCTAAACACAGACAAAGAATCAATAAATGCACACTTTGAAAACTTATCAAAAACTCCGAGATTTGTGAGCGTTGTTACCAAAATTGGGAAATCGAACCTACGTCCATTATGTGCAACTAAACACACATTTTGAAATTTAGAAATCCAGGCGATCATATCATCAACTGCTGATCTAATATTCACAGATTGAACCTTTGTTCCATTAACTGTCATCTGGCCTTCAAAATATGCTATTCCAGTAACACTAGTTGCTGTTTTATCAATGGGAACTGTAGGGTTGACATATGTGTTGAATTGTTGCTCTGACACAACTTCTACTGCCGAAATTTGTGTTATCTGAGGTAGGACTCCTCCTTGAACTGTAACATACATTAAAATATAACTAAAAAACCCATTTTATAACTGTTTGTATGGTGAATTGCTGGAAAAATAAAGCTGTTAAATTTTTAATTCATCCACAATTCATATAGGCAGTAACAAAGTCTTTGAAAATACAAATAAAGGGTATTCCCTTCTGCTTAAATTGTAAATTATTAACATGTATATATTACCTTGAATTAATATATGTTTAAACCAAATAAAGGATATGAAATAATGTTAGTTATCAAGATCTTTGAAGCACTTTAAAATCATGTGTAAATTGAAATTTGTAAAAATGATAACTCACTTAGCCCAGTTGTTTCCAAGTCAAAGGATATTATAGTTGGCTTTCCATGGAATTTGGCAGACTTGAAATTTCCCCTTGGAATTGAATCAGGTATTTTCTCGACATTGACAGTTTCTTCATGACCAATACCTGTAGAATTCATTTTTCAATAATTAACATTGTATATCATGAAATAAACTGTTTAGGTTTAGCTCTATGTAAAATGCCATTGTCTGAAAACAAACAAATTATTCAAAACTCTATTTGATCCAAACAAAATAAACTGTAATTTCTATATTTTCTAATACAAAACATATTCTGGATTTTGAGTGTTTTTTTTTTATAACATGTATAGAGCATGTGTTCAACAAGCATTATATTTGTGCTCTACATTTGTTCAACATATGTCAATGTATGAATTCTACATTTGCAACACAGGTGTTCTACATATGTTCTACATATTTTTAGATTTGTACTACCTTAAGGCTAGTATTAAAAAAGTATTTTGCATATATTCATATTTGTTTGTTTTTGTTCTTTTGGTTTTACGTCAAATCGACACAGTATAGGTCATATCGCAACTTTACTGGTGGAGGAAGACCTCAGGTGCCTTTCCGTGCATTATTTCAGGCACGAATGGGCACCTGAGTAACCGACGTTCTGTAAGCTAGCTAGAAAGCTTCCTCACATGAAAGAATCCAAAGTCCCTGTCGGGATTCTAGCCCACAGCGGTGAGGGGCAAGTGGTTTGAAGTCAACGACCTTAACCACTCGGCTACGGACGCCCCTACATTCATGGGTACTACATGTTCTCTGTATATATACATCATATGCATTATAATATGTTCTAAAGTGTTCTACATATAAACTTACCAGACTGATATGTATCTCCTTCCAGTGCCTCATTTGCACCCTGATTAGTGGCCCGTTCCTGTTTTAACAACAATCGTCTAAGTTTGGTGGAGGGGGATTTTGCCTTTTCTCTCTTTTTTTCCCGCTGTTTCATACATTTCTCTGCATGACGAACTGTATGAGTCCCAGGTGAAAGACCCAACATTGAGTAACCCTGTTTTTTACAAGTTAATAATTTAATCATTTGATAACAATAGTTATGTGGTGTTTTTTGGAAAGAAATTATGAAAACTAGTAGCAGCTTATTTTGTATAGTAACAAAGACTATGATTTTACTCATAATTATGACATCATGTGTTAGCAAATTGTCTTTTATTGGTGGCGGATGAAAAGTTTCTCTTGCAATGTGTGCATAATAGAAAATCCTGTCTGATATTTAAGAACATATTAGTACATCTTTTATAAAAATTATTGTTTAACTATGCATTTGTTTGTAGATTGAATAATGAAAACTTAAATTCTTTATTTACTTACATTACATTCTGGACTTCACAGAAGTCTATGTCAATAGGTCCAACAAACAGGTATATGTAAAGAACAACAACAAAAACTTCTGAAATGATAACAAATAAACAACTTCAACATGATCAACAAGTCAAACATGATCAACAAGTAAACAAACATGATCAACAAAAATAATTGTATTATGATCAAAAACAGCAACTATAAAAAAGATCCATATTAACATGGTAACTGAAATATAACGGAAAACTGAAAAACATCAATAAACTGTAAAACAAATGAAAAAGAAAAGTAGAATCAAAACAGCAAACCATACCTTAGAAATATACTGCCTTCCTTCATTTATGAATGCTGCTGTTACATGGACACGATAATCAAGACTACTGGAGTTTCCATAGTGATGACTTTTAGGTGCTCTTAGTGTGACCTCTTTGTTTGCGTGCTCACATTGTTGGCTCGAGCCAAGATCTATATAGTGACCAGCATTATATATTATTGGATCAAACAACTGTTGTAATTTTTGTCTGAGATTACTGTCCTGGAGTGAAGTTTTATATGGAAGGCTACGATGTGTGTAGCTGGAACCAGGCTTCCGTTTGTAACCACAAAACCTTGCATTACACAATGATCACCAAACTGATGTGGAACTATAGCTTTTAGGTTTTCCTCCATTCCAATTTTATCGCCTTGATTTTTTGAAAATGTATATTTCAAACATTTTTCTAAATGAGAAATTACAGTTTTGCTAAGTTTCACACCTTTTTCACTTTTCAGTTTATATAAACCTTTTGTAAAGTTTTTTACAACATGATTCTTGTCAAAACGTTTCTTCATTGAAACACCAAGGTCAGTTTTTAATCTAGAAATAAGGGTGTTGTCACCATCACCTTCCAAGTATTCCACTGGAATACCTTCAGCTAAAAGTTCCTTAACCCCTTTCACACCACTTGTTGCTTCCATAGCTCTTGCACTGCCCCTATGATTTCTGACACATGCATGAGGACGTACTTTCTGGCCCGGCCTTTTGCGTCTCCACCAATTGCAAACACCACAGGTCCGATGGCTAACTATTGTTTTAACAACTTTCTTTGGCTGTCTGGATTTCCCAGTGGTCATGAAAAAAGTGTGAGCTGTGAGAAATGACAAAAAAAATACAATAAACAACAAACACTAAAAACATATAAATAGTTCTATATGTAGCTAAAAACTGATTATTTCAAAGTAATGTATCAAAATTGTACGATCTCTAGACACTGAATGCAAAATATTTATTTCTTACATTAACACCACACATACTCATAAGCACCTGCCATCACTTATGCCTATAGCACATAGTATATGTATGCAATATTAGAGAAAAACAAAAACTGTTTCTAAAATAATTAACTTACAGGTTAGAGAATCAAATCCTCGCTTGTGCCAGGCCGTGTCAACAGCAACAGACATTCCACTTCTTGTCTGACAAGGGAATTTTGGAAGTAGTCTTACTTTTGCTTTCTTTATTTGTTGATCTGTTTTCCTATCAGATTGAGGAGTCAGAACTGGGACTGACAGTGGCTTTCTGGTATCTGTAGGTGTTCTATAATTGAACCAAGCAAGCATTTAAATGAAGCATTTCAGCATTAAAATACATAATGTATATACACTATGAATAAAAAAGTATTTACTATAAACATATAACAGTGATTTTGTTTATATGACTTTTTTGCGATAATTCACGTATTTGTAAAATGCTTTCTGATTTGTATCCTCTGCATTTTTTGTTTCAAAGTTATTTCTGACTTTACGACATTCACGGGTAGCTCTATTACGTTGACGACAAAAATATTGAAAATGAACATGTTCATTTGTTTGTCTATATTTGTTCCTTGCCCCATGTTTCTTTTTCACAGCTTTAAGAGCTTCTCTAGTCATCCAAATTGGTTTATTATCCCTATTTGATGATCTGATTTTCTTAACAGGAATATGTTTTTTTCATTGATTCTGTTATTTTATCTTTGAAAAATATCCAATTTTCATTCACTTCTTTACCTTGAAATTCACTTATCCAATCAACATTACTCAAGTCAGTTTTCATTTCATCATAGTTTCCTCGATCGTAAGTAAATGACTCTTTCATGTATGCCTCATTTGTTTGAATTACAATCAATACCAAAGGTAATCACTATGGTCACTTTTACCCAGAGGAACTGAAGTGTTCAATATTGTTCACTAAAAGTTCTTCTGATGAGAAAACAAGATCTAATGTACTTGGTCTTTGGCCGTTTCTGTATCTTGTATAAAATGAAGATAACTATCATGCACGTACTGCTTCTATAAATTCATGACTTACATGATTTTCTGGCGCACTTGAAATCCAATGCTTCCAGTATACTTGCAATTTTAAATCAAGATATGATATTTGTTGTCTACACTTACATTTCTAAGGTGTTGAAATTTCATATCATATACAAGTGTCCATGTTGTTTAAAAAAATAATAGCTTTAAAGTACAGTACAGTATAATGACCCTTGATAGTAAGTGACTTGTATTATAAAGGTGCTTGAATGATTTCAACATGTAATTTACGAAATATATCTGTGGAATAATTACTACCATATTAAGTTATAAAAGATAAAAAAAGTCATTCCAGCCGCATTCGCATATCATTATTTTTTCAGTAAAAATTCCTTTCGGGTAATATAGGCAGAAGACCAGTCCATGTTGTTAGGTACGCCATTTTGTCTGTTTATTTTTCACGATCGTCTTGTTGTATTACCCGAATTATGGCTGACGTGGAAGTAGCAGAGCAACCTCCACCAGCGAGTAATACATATGTGATAAGGCCAAATTTTCAACACAAGTATGATTTAATTTCTGTTATGATAATTGTTGCATTTATGCGACTTTAAAATGAATAGTATCTGGATGAAACAATTTTTCCGGATAGTGCCTACTTTACTATCCTGTTGCAGTGTTTTATTATAATTTAAGCAGACTCGGTTGAAATGTGGTCGATCAAAATAATAAGCTAAAATTAGCAAGAATCTTTGATTTCCTTCCATTTCACTTTACATAAAGTGTATGAAAATTATCGCATAATGCAGCTTTTTGTCTTTGATATTTGTCAGCTGTTTTACCCATGTAACCTGCATAATGCATTATTAGAGTGTGTGGACCAATGCTCGGTGTAAAAATACAATATTTTAAATTAGAAAAAATAATTGGCATCAATTTACCTTAATGTTATATGTTCATTTTTAAGACTGATGATATTGTTTCCATTGTTTATATTTCGCTTATCACATAATGACGTATTTGGGGGTAGCTAAATATAGTCCGGATAAACAGGTGCAGTTTATGTGAAATTGTACCATAGCCCGGTACAAAATGATCCAGGTTTGATTTTCGAAATATTTATTTTCCAAAGTTATGAAGAAAACATACGTAATTAATAGGGTTGGACACCGGTTCCCGGTATCGGTCCTATACCGAATAGTAACTTCGTAAACTACCGGTATATACCGTTTCGTAAAATACCGGTTCTGGATTTGATACTTTTGTAATTCTGTAAAAAAAATAATTTAATAGTCAATATGTCAAAAAAAATAAGAAGATTTTTATATAAAACAGCCTACAAACACGTAAAACAAACTATGAATTACTATTATCATGCGGCGAGTACGGCAAAGTTGAAGTTTGTGACGCGGCGATATTTTTGTAAAAGTATTGTGCCGCTTATGTTCAAGATAATAATATTTTTGTTCTCGGCAGGGAAATATAATTATTTGAACTGATTTTGGTAAAAGTTTGTAAGTTTTAAATGTCAAAGAAACAACGAGAAAGCAAATCAAATACTTGAGTAATCATCGGCACATCGCACACAGTCCTTCCAAACACATCGCACACAGCTTTTGCCGCAATGACAATGTAAATCCAACATATGACATTGTTTATTCAAACAATGCTTTTAAAAAATAATTAAATCCTTTTTTCGGTTTAAGTCTCTAAACACTCATAATGAATACATATTTAATGTTTCCAGGTTCTTTTCTTCCATGACCACATGTGCAAATTCACACGTGAATTACGATTTGAACATAAATGAGGCCGAAATATTCTAACAAAATATGCCTCCTTTTGTTTTTGGTGTAACACTGGACTATTATTAAACATGTATACATTTTCTTAACAAAAGAGTGCTGACAGAACTTCAATCAAAAAGTGTGAATGTCGGCGGCTCTTTGATGGTGATAGAGTAACAACATCAAAGGGAGGCATATTCTTTTGAATAGCCTATTATGCACCTGTCAAAGGTCGAGCCTGCAACATTTTCAATTTTGTCGTGTTGGCCTTTCTTTAGGGATTCTGTATATCTCTATTTTATTTGTGTGCATTACACATTTAGATCTGTGATACTTTAAACAACTGAAACATATTTCATATAGTGTTTTGTAGGATTTTTTTTTGCAAATGTTGGCTAGTATTTTTGCATATTTGATCAGTGTGGAATTATGCAATTTGGTAAGGACAATACCCTTTTCTTCTGTAGCAAGATGTTCACGGTGCATGCTATTGAAAAATAAAAGATGTATAAAATTGAAAAGTAAATATTAATAAATACCAAATCCTTATTATTTGTAAAGCATAGGTATTTGCTTTATGACTTCTACAAGGACTAATATTAGGTTAACATGAAAATGTAAACAAGTCATTTTGGAAACAGTCTGTGCTGACTGTGCATATACATGTATTTCAAAATTTCTTTATTATTTTCTGGTAGAAAATATGTTTGTGCTGTTGTAGTAGAACAGGCTGGAAACAGAAGTGACTTTGAAAAAACATCTAATGAAATTTCTTACATGTAATTCAAAATTGCAAAGTAAGCCAACCAATCCAGTGATTTCATTTATGACAGTAAGCAGTGATTTAAAAAAGAATATCAGCATCAGAATAAAACTTCTACACTGTAATAATAATAATTGCTGTAAGAAAATAATAGATAACCAACTGTCTTAAATTCTTTCAGATGTAGAGATATCAAGATTAAAAACAATAATTTGTAGACTTCTCAGCTGCAGACCGCTGTCCTGCATAAGATATTTTTCTGTGTTTAAATTATGTAATGTTCTTTTGATGAAAAAGTAAAAGTATTTTACAATTAACATGTGTAAATGTTGTAAAAAAGAGTAAACACAAAACAACAAAATATGGAACTTGAGAAAAGTATACTTTACAGCATGAAATTTCAGAAAGACCAGTAATGTAACATATTTATTTTCTAGCACAACATGTTATATCTCTTCAGTTCTTATACTTGCAGCAAAGGGTTTGGTATTGTAAAAGTATCAGTATCAGTATCGATAAAATACCCGTATCGTTTCGTCAGTATCGGTATCGGACCGTTTCGTGAAGAACGATATCCAACCTTAGTAATTAATTATGTGATGGAAATTACTTTATGGGTTACCGTATTGCCTCCCTTTTCTATAAGTTTGCTATTTGTATTTGAAAAATATATGAGATTATGATATTTGAAATATGTTTGGTTATGTCCTTGTAAGAGTCGGATCATAATGATAGTAGCATTTTCATGTATACAGAATCTCAGATATCTGGTACTAAAATGTTCTATTGTTTCTGTAAGACCTCTCGGGCAAAGGTTGATGAGAAATAGTATTTTGACTGAATTTAAAGATTATAGTTATTAGTACACAGAAATCTCAGATATCTGGTACTAAGGATGCTATATCTTTATGACAAATGATTGATAAGGAACAATTTATTAATGTTCGAAGTATTGTATTTTTAGAAATATAGGACATGAGATTGTTGAAATGTAAAAGTAGGGGAATGAAGGATAGGTTTAGATTTAGAATGATATTAGGTTGAGAATAGTTTTTGAGTAAATAAATTATTTCTTGAAATATATATTTTAATAGATTTTAGAAATAGATTAAGATTGTTATTTTGCTATGAATGGTGTTTTTTAGTTATTTTCCAATCATTAGGATAAGTATCCCGAGAAATATTACATGTATTTGCATTTAAGAATATCAAGATTAATTAGATTTTATTTTGCCTTATTTTGTGCACATTTTACAACCCCTGTACGCTAGTTTGATAACATTTCAAATTCACACTGTGATAGAGACTATTGATAATGAGTGCAGTGTCAAAGATGTATAACTATAGCTTACTTTGTTTTGAATTATTTACTTTTGAGATAGATGCTTGAGTATAAGTCCGAAACTGTAAGTGGTATATCTGATATAGAAACTTCATTCAGTGTTATAGGCCAATGAGTAGTGTTGTGTTTTAAAACCATAGATTTAAATAACAGATTTTCTCAATGGTCTCCCTTTACTGAGATTGAAGTATGGGGCAATCTTGTACCTCTCCCGTATAATCACTGGACACCTGTTGTTGTAATTATTAAATTTTTGAATGCATTGAAAAATTAAACAAGACTTTGCCAGGTATTCATCTTGCAATAAATCAACTGCTCTTGAAAAGCGTTACTTATAAATGTGTTTTTGTATAAACTGTAAATCTTAAAAATATGCTTTATCATGATGTCCTTAGTATTATTAAGTACATGTCATTGAGAGGCTATTGGTAGTAATTCTTTAACTTTGCTGGACAAACAAATACATCAGTTAGCAATTTTTGTTTTGCCAGTTGTTTTCTTTTTTACAGGAATAGTATTCTGCGTAGTTCAATTTGATTCTGACCTAAGTAATTAGACAAATTTTGAAGCCAGGTATAGTGGTTTTGTAAGAGAATTAAAAATTGCTGTCTTTTTTTTCAGATTTCGACCAGTATCTGTGAAAGAGTGTATTCATGCCGTGTTAAATGAGCATTTAGATGGTAAAACATACGATCCAGAGGAAATAATGGACTGGACAAAAACAATCTCTGATGATATTAAAACAAAACTTAAAGGTAAACAAAATACAAGCAGTGCTTTAAAATGAAAAAAAGTTTTTTATTTATTTGAAATAATTAATACTGGTCTGGGAACAACAACCAGACACATTTTGAACATTTTTTCATACAGATTTAATTATTTTAAAGATAGAGCTCTGAAAATTTGACACATCTAGGTTCTTCTCTGAACTAACAGACTAGTTTGTTTATTTCTAATTATGTTGACACTTATATCTGAGGCCTGTGAAGGAGGGTACCAAAATTACCTGAATTGTCCACACTACAGTACCATGTGTCCAGACAGATATGTCCATGATGCTGATTTAATTTAATAAAAGATTTGGTGTTTTAATTTTTTTATTTTACATGATATAAAATATTTTGGCAGCAAATGCTGAAGTTTTGGATATTCTATTATTCACTCTGCAAATGATTATTGCTAGTATAAGAGGTCAGTTATTACACTTTTGACGTCCGAATTTTCAATGTCACGTTCTTGAAAAAGAAGTTTAAATATTTCCATTTATGAAAAGTGAAATAAATTTAATCACTTAATTATAGAACAAACATGCAGTTATTGTTGATATAAAAGCGACTGATCAGTCAACAACCACTGAACAAATAACAAAAACTAAATCGGGCATTTTCAATGCTGTCCGGCTTTGGTGGTTGTCCGGTATTGGTGATCTCCATCCAGTACAGTGTTCATCTACAGGGATTGTTTTTTGTACTAATGCAAACAAAATTTTATATTGTGGTCATTTTTGCTCTTATTATATGTACATACATGTGAACTCTCCCACTTTAAGTGGGAAACTCCCACTTTCTGCAGTCATATTTTCAAAGATTCCTCTTAAAATAAGGGTATTTTCACAAATTAAAGAAATCTCCCTCTTTTTGATGTCAAAACGTCCTTCTTTGTTTATTGCAAATTCTAAAACCTCCCTCTTTTTGAATAAAAATCTCCCACTTGATCATGGAAAAAAGTTCACATGTATGATTATAATCTGCATTATGTAAAAATATAACAAAGAGACTTGTGACTCAATCAGTGACAGAGATGCCCATATTGACATACTATAGTTACTATAGTGTGTTCTGGAATTCATCATTTCAAATTATAAAGTGAATTAAACAAAACATGTTGACAATATTTCTACTCCAACTACATGTGTGTGCACTTTAAATGTGCAATATTGTGTGTTGTTTATTTCAGATATGGGATATGATAGATATAAGTTTGTTGTTCAAGTTGCTATAGGTGAACAGAGAGGAGAGGGTGTAAAGTAAGGTTCCATTTATTTTATAATCAATAAACACAATGATATTTTGTCATATTCTTATAACATGTAACAGTTGATATATTGTATAAGTGGTTAAGTTAGAGATGTAGAATTATTGGTGAATATCACGAATTTAGGAAAGTCTCTAAAATTTCCCCCAGTGTAAATATCAACTAACATGTCATTAAATTCTACCCTTGCACAATTTGCTAATATTTTTCTCACACGAAACGTCTGGCATTTTAGATTGGCTAACTTTTGGACAGACAGAAATATCTACTTATACATTATATTATATGTAGTGACTGTGATATACCGTGAGATATATACAGTATTTGATAAACAGTAAGATATATACAGTATTCAATAAACAGTGAGATATATACAGTATTTGATAAACAGTGAGATATATACAGTATTTTATATATACAGTGAGATATATACAGTATTTGATAAACAGTGAGATATATACAGTATTTGATAAACAGTGAGATATATACAGTATTTGATAATCAGTGAGATATATACAGTATTTGATAAACAGTGAGATATATACAATATTTGATAAACAGTGAGATATATGCAGTATTTGATAATCAGTGAGATATATACAGTATTTGATAATCAGTGAGATATATGCAGTATTTGATAAACAGTGAGATATATACAGTATTCAATAAACAGTGAGATATATACAGTATTTGATAAACAGTGAGATATATACAGTATTTGATAAACAGTGAGATATATACAGTATTTGATAAACAGTGAGATATATACAGTATTTGATATACAGTGAGATATATACATTATTTAATAAACAGTGAGATATATACAGTATTTGATAAACAGTGAGATATATACAGTATTTGATGTACAGTGAGATATATACAGTATTTGATAAACAGTGACATATATACAGTATTTGATAATCAGTGAGATATACACAGTATTCAATAAACAGTGAGATATATACAGTATTTAATAATCAGTGAGATATATATATACAGTACGCTCACCGCGGGTTTTGCTTTTTCCGCGATACCACCGCGGACGATTTTTTTTTATCGCGGACAAACGCGGGGGTTCGTCCGCGATGAAAGCATAATTTCCCCCGCGATCCCCGGTGTTCAGTTGTTTCCACCGCGGACAAAATTCTGACGACCGTTCTTCATTCGTCGATAAAATCAGTCACCCGTTTCCCGCGGGGGAACGCCATGGTCAGTTGGTCAGTATAAATTAACCTCCAAAAATAATTAGAGCTGTCATCGATATCGACAATATCGATGTATCGTTGATATTTTTTTGTCGATCAATAATCGATACAAATTTTAAAAAATCGATACTTTTGACTTATACATTAAATGTCTAGAAATTATACAATTCACCCAAAAATATGCAGAAACAGTTATTTATATCTAATGTTATGCTTTTGTTATAAAGTGGAATTATTTCATAGCAATGGTGACAAAAATATTGTCTGGTAAAAATCATGCAGTGGACAAGACACTGTACAGAACATGTTTTTGACTGAAATCATTGAAACAGGTATGAAAGTGAATGACAGACAAGTGAGTATAGGATATTATCGATATATCGGTGTATCATTGATTTTAGTCACTTGATATCGATATATCGTTGATATGCTTTGCACTGAATCAATGACAGCTCTAAAAATAATAGACGTTTTATTATTTTTTAACGTCATCTTTTTTTACACAATGACTTGAAAATTGACCACAATCGTCTCCTTAAACGTTATTATACGTTAATTTTTTTGAACGGAATTTGAAATAAAAATAATTACAGCTGTACCTGTTTTTGTTGTTGTTTTTAATATTTTTGTTATAAACGTCCACAAAACTATTCATCCACATACCAATATTTTTACAACTGAAATCGTCATTTATCACTGTCATCTTTACTTTTTCATTCCTTGTGGTTCTCAAAGTATTATTGCTGTTAAACTATATGGGAGCCTGGTAAATATGATACTTAGTAAAAAAAAAGGACATTTGTGCTGATTTCTCAATGATGACTGACGCTACAGTACATGTCCTGTAAGAGGCCGATGTGTGTGAATACAAGACAAGACATAAATAAAATACATGTAAATATATTAGAAATAAAAGAAAAATATATTTAAACCATCTATATACGTTCAATTGTATGTACTTAAAACTACATGTTGTCTACAAATACTATTCTTCCTATGAACAATAATATCTTAAGATAAAATTAAAATGAAATATTTTTAACTTGAAAATCGGTCGATGGAAGTTCTTAGAAAATAACTGCCATGTGCTCGTTTGCCTTATATACATGTATGTACATGCATACTGTTCATAATAAAATAACAAAAGTATAACGTCAAGTTTAACAAAATTCTGCAAAAAAAATCTATAAAAAAATAAAAAAGAACAAGCAAACAAACTACTAAAACAAAAATGAAAATAAGCTTCAACAGTTGATACAAACTTCAAAACATATACATTACACTCACACCTGTAATTAGATAAATCAAAATATCATTTAATGTATATTTTGGTGAAATAAACGCTTTCTTTTAATGTTCCAAATAAAATATAAGACTTTATGATCAACATGCAAATAAACAGAAACAGTAAAACGCATCTGACAATTGAAAGAGACGTCCTGGAATATTGCCTGAATAAAATTGTTGAGGGTTACGTTTTCAAAGTTTTTAAATAAGAAACAAAAGCTGGCATATAAATTGTTGTAGTATCTTTTTCATAAATGTCATATGCCGAATGTTTCATTATTTGACTTCAAGTTTCTCACTACCATGAAGTTGCGACGACAATGATTTATCTTGATGTCTAATACATATTATACATTACCCAACACAATAACAAGAAGAAGAACAAGAAAAATACTGCATTTGTACATGTACTTTTATTACAACAAAAAAGAAAGAAAACAAACAAATTTTACATATAGTTACATGTATATGTACAGTACATGTTACAGTACATGTACGTACGTATACTGATGTTTAAATACAGTAATTAATTTTTAAAATTTAAGGTTTCCACTGCGTTGACCGGTGTTTGACCGCCGCGTTCCTCCGCAATTTACCAGTGCGCTCCGCGGGGGAAACGGTTTCAGCCGCCGATTTATGTCCGCGGTGGTGAAAATTTTCTGTCCGCGGGGTCACGCGGACAATATCTGAGCAAATTTTCGTCCGCGGTAAACCTCATCCGCGGGGTCACGCGGGTTTTGAAAAAGTCGCGCTGAGCGTACTGTACAGTATTTGATATACAGTGAGATATAAACAGTATTTGTCTATTTGATAAACAGTGAGTTTTAAACTGTGAGTGATAATCAGTGAGCAATAAAAATAAGTGATATAGTGTCAATGACATAAAGTGTGTGAATTATAGTGATATATTGATAGATTGAAAACTATTTTTGACAGTTTATATAGCATAGTATAAACAGTTGAAAGGTTATATAACCTAAGCTAATTTTAGGGGGTTATATTGCAAACAACCATTGAACCATTGATATATCGTTTCTCAGATATTTTTGTAACAAATTTATAATACAGCAGCTTTACTTTATATTAGTAAAAACGAAAATTACTTATTTATAATAAAGTGTATATAGATTATATAAACATCAAGATTATCCAATGAAAAACAACATTACAAACATGCAGTGATATGAAAAGTGATATATGATGAGAGATATGAATAATATCTTACATATTAATCAAATTTTATCTTTATGTTTACTGAACAGTCAATAATATCATCACATGTTTGATACATTTTTGGCAAGATTTTACCTTATTATATATGATTAATTGCATATATTTAAATTTTATGGTAAAGATTGAACATATTATTTACAGGATGGGGGCTAGATGTTTCTGGGACTCTGATACAGATAACTATGCACAAGATATCTACATGAATGTAAGTCAATTATTATTGGAAGAATATAAAATGTTGTGCCTTTATATCAGCTAAATTTAAAAGTTTATATTTTCATCTAAAAAAGAACTTATGGTATTTTATGTAAAAACTATTATGATTTGATATACATGTGTTTTGAGACTTGAGCTGGCCATTTTCCATCATCATCATCATCATCATCATTATTGCTGACAGAGCTGATATATTTTTATATTACAGGACTCATTATTTTGTGTAGCAGCAGCTTTTGGAGTGTTCTATTATTGAATGTACCATAGCCAGCATCTGACAACATTTCTACATTTTCTACGATGATAATGACTTATAATAAAAGGGATGTAACTCTCATAAAATAGAAACTGTTGAAGGGCAATAATTCTTATCTGTATTGTTCTTTATTGGATATGTAAAGTAAAAAAAAAGTTAAATACAGAAATAATTCATTGACTGTAAAAGTTGTTATAAATAAGGTTAAATGATGTAATTTAATGCTGTTAAATAGTTTAACAATTGTATTTCTCTTTTATTTAGTGATCGTAAGTCTGGCAATCTGTAAGCCAATAAATGTTGTGAATGCTTTACTTATTTTCTTTAAAAATAAACTGAAATGGATATTTACCACCAGCTAATGATTTACAAATATAATTATAGATTTTGTGAATAATTTTCAGATAGTGTTGTATTTCATCAATGCACTTTAAGTACTAGTAGTTAAAAGTTTCTTATCATGTAGATCATACAAAATGTAAACTTTATTGTGTAACAATACATGCTGCATTCCGTCCAAGTATTTTTTCTCTGTATTGTATATGTATGAAAATATCATTAATTTATATGCTTATGTTTATACATGTTAACTATGTGATGAATAAATGTTTTCAAGTAAATCAGATCTGTTTTGGTTTTGAGGCCTTTTAGCCCTTATAGCTTGTTTTGGTTTTGAGGTGTTTTAGCCCTTCTAGCTTATTAAGTGGGCTAGTGTCCACCTTATGGGGTCTTTTGCCTAAACCACTTAAAGTTGCCTTCAGCTTTTCTAAGGTTAAATACATGTATGTTATTTTTAGATATGAGCCACGTCACAACAAAACCAACATAGTGCGTTTGTGACCAGCATGGATCAAGACCAGCCTGCGCATCCACGCAGTCTGATCAGGATCCATGCTGTTCGCTATCAGTTTCTCTACTTGTAATAGAGTTGGTATACTGTCATACCTCAAACCTACCTGTCTGCTCTCTATATTTTATTAGTAAAGTGGAGGATTTGTTTTTCCTGATCTTCTACTTTTAGAAAGAACCATCACTGAGGCATTATAAATAGCTGTTTAGACACTGTTTTGAAGAAGGCTTAACAATGATGTTGTAGACTTTTCCAAGATAAAATTATTGAAATACTTAGTTTCAAACAACACAGAATTGTTTTTCCAACAGAAAAAAAGCTGAAGGCTGCTTTAACGTGTTGCTGGAGTTGTGTATATTTATTATTTTAAGCTTGACTTTTTGGAAGTCATGATATTGTTACTTTTCCATTGATGCCAAAATACTTTATTTTTTGTGTCGCCTTGAAAAGGCGACATATAGGGGTTTCTTTTGTCGGCGGTGTCATCGTCGTCGGCTTCCCCTAAAGCTTGTCCGGAGCAATACTTAGTCACTGTAAGTCGGATTGACTTCAAACTTGTTATGCATGCTTCTTTTAATAACCCGAAGTGCAGTGCATAAGGACCGGTACTCTGCACTTCTTAATTTTTGAGTTATTGCCCTTTTTAAATTTTCATACTTTAATTTTGTCCGGGCTATTTCTCTCCAACTATAAAAGCTATGGACTTGAAACTTCATAGGATAATTGATCTCATAAAGAAGAAGTGCAGTGCACAAGGACATATACTCTGCACTTCCTAATTTTTGGGTTATTTCCTTTTGTTAATTTTCATACTTTATTTTTGTCCGGGCCATTTCTCCTAATGTATAAAAGCTATGGACTTGAAACTTCATAGGATGATAGATCTCATTAAGCACAAGAACCGGTACTCTGCATTTCTTAGTTTTTGAGTTATTGCCCTTTGTTAATTTTCATACTTTATTTTTGTCCAGGCCATTTCTCCGAAAGTATAAAAGCTATGGACTTGAAACTTCATAGGATGATAGATCTCATTAAGAAGAAGTGCAGTGCACAAGAACCGGTACTCTGCATTTCTTATTTTTTGAGTTATTGCTTGGTAATTTTCATACTTTATTTTTGTCCCGGCCATTGCTCATAAATTATAAAAGATATGGACTTGAAACTTCATAGAATGATTGATCTTATTGATAAGAAGTGCAGTGCACAGAAACTGCTGCTCTGCACCTATTATTTTTTGAGTTATTGCCCTTTGTTAGTTTTCATATTTCATTTTTGTCCTAGCCATTTCTCCTAAACTATATTGTTCACAAAGCGACACATCTGACTCGCGGAGTTCTAGTTAACCAGGTTTTCAATTTTGAAAATCCTGGTTATTAGATTGGGGTATGGCGGGCGGATGGGCGGATGGGCGGGCGGGCGTCAAACGAAATTGTGTCCGCTCTGTAACTCTTCATCCCTTTGAAGAATTTTGATGAAACTTCAGACAAATGTTTACCACATCAAGATGACGTGCAGAACGCATGTTCCGCATGGCTGGCTCCAAGGTCAAGGTCACAGTGACATTAACATTGAAAATCCTGTCCGCTCTGTAACTCTTCAACCCTTTGAAGAATTTTGATGAAACTTCAGACAAATGTTTACCACATCAAGATGACGTGCAGAACGCATGTTCCGCATGGCTGGCTCCAAGGTCAAGGTCACAGTGACATTAACATTGAAAATCCTGTCCGCTCTGTAACTCTTCAACCCTTTGAAGAATTTTGATGAAACTTCAGACAAATGTTTACCACATCAAGATGATGTGCAGAACGCATGTTCCGCATGGCTGGCTCCAAGGTCAAGGTCACAGTGACATTAACATTGAAAATCCTGTCCGCTCTGTAACTCTTCAACCCTTTGAAGAATTTTGATGAAACTTCAGACGAATGTTTACCACATCAAGATGACGTGCAGAACGCATGTTCCGCATGGCTGGCTCCAAGGTCAAGGTCACAGTGACATTAACATTGAAAATCCTGTCCGCTCTGTAACTCTTAAACCATTTGAAGAATTTTGATGAAACTTCAGACAAATGTTTACCACATCAAGATGACGTGCAGAACGCATGTTCCGCATGGCTGGCTCCAAGGTCAAGGTCACAGTGACATTAACATTGAAAATCCTGTCCGCTCTGTAACTCTTAAACCCTTTGAAGAATTTTGATGAAACTTCAGACAAATGTTTACCACATCAAGATGACGTGCAGAACGCATGTTCCGCATGGCTGGCTCCAAGGTCAAGGTCACAGTGACATTAACATTGAAAATCCTGTCCGCTCTGTAACTCTTCAACCCTTTGAAGAATTTTGATGAAACTTCAGACAAATGTTTACCACATCAAGATGACGTGCAGAACGCATGTTCCGCATGGCTGGCTCCAAGGTCAAGGTCACAGTGACATTAACATTGAAAATCCTGTCCGCTCTGTAACTCTTCAACCATTTGAAGAATTTTGATGAAACTTCAGACAAATGTTTACCACATCAAGATGACGTGCAGAACGCATGTTCCGCATGGCTGGCTCCAAGGTCAAGGTCACAGTGACATTAACATTGAAAATCCTGTTTACATGATTTTAACTTGATTTGGCAGTCAAAGGTCATATCATCTTTGGAGGTAATTTAAAAAAGATATGATATATTATTTCATGTCTACTTTGTAACTTGTTTTTCATTATACAGAATTATCAATATAATTATAGTGAACAAATTCTTCTGTGCTGAACTCGTCCTACATTTCTCAACGGATTTTGTTCAAACTTTCACAGAAGCTTTGTCATCAAGCACCCTGGCACATATTGTCGGGGTTTTGTGATTGGATAGTTTTTGACCTAATTATGGCCCTTTGTTTTTTTCCTTATACATAATATTATAGTGAACACTTCTTCAGTGGCAATTCCTCCTACATTATTCATGTTTTACATTGCACATAGTTACATTGTTTGTTGCTTGTATTTGTATTTCAAATACAACATATTTATCTACAATGGTGATAATTGAAAACCTGGTTTCATGGCATTGCCATGTTTCTTGTTATTTGTTTGGGTCGTCAGAATATCAGTGTTGCAATTAGCCTTATAGCCAATTTTCTACATTTATAACACTGGAAACGGCATTGCTGGCACTACACAAAAAGAAACTGGTTTATAATCTCACAAACTTCACCTTTCTGATTCTGAGACCCAAAACAAATTCAGCGCTTTCTGTGCTTTGATTATCAAAGGTTATAGTAAATTCCTGTGTGATAGAGGTCAGCTGGGGGAGTCGTCACTCCTGTGAATTCCTTAGTTGAATTGAGCTTTAATTGTTTTTGATATTTTGTGATTTATTTACAAATTCTTTCCACTGTCGTATCTCGAAGAATGTTTTAATTGTAATTCACGTATGACAGATTTGATCCTCAGACGAGGCGAAATATGTCCGTGGCTATTGGTTTCGGACATGAGTCTAATAGACATTGGTCTCTCTCAACTGGTTCAGAAATTACGCACCCCGCCAGGTACTTTGAATTCGTTCATGTGAGGAAGCTATCCTCAAATCACTTGCCTCTCACCGCTGTATGTTCGAGTTTAAAAGCTATCCAGCTAGCTTACGGAACGTCGGTGGTTCTACCTAGGTGCCTGTTTGAACCTGAAATAATGCAAAGAGGGGCGCCAGAGGTCTTCCTCCACCAATAAGAATATTGCAGGCTCGATTTAATGGAGTCTGTTCATGGACGGTAGTGGTAATTGCGAACTAACTTTCACGTCCCCTAGCACCGACTGAAGCAGAATTCAACATTTAAACATGAAAATGGTAAAATTTGAATTTAGAAGCATCCGCAGATATGTTCATACGTTGGTTATCATGGAGAGAAGTTCATGCTTAGGAAACATATTTTGTTTATCTCAAGAAGCCGTTTAAATGTAAGATCTTTTCATAAAAGCTGGGACATACGTTATCGTATATTCCAGATAAAAGCTAGCGTTCGGAAGGTCGTTACTTCTACTCTGGTGCCCTTTACCAGAAATAATACATGGAGTGAAGTCTTCCTCCAATAGTAACGCTTCAAGGTTGCCATTAGAGTGTCGGTGTGACTTAACCTTAACGTGTTTAGTGCTTTTCATTTGAGGTTGACTTGGTAATTACCGTTTAATTAACTGAAAAAATGCTTACTTGGACTGACCGCCGATCCTTGTATAGTTCTATATACAACAACAGCTAAACTTGTTCTGCTCCATTCAACAAGATGTAACCAGGGCTAAAATAGTCACCCACACATCAACTTGTAGCTATTAATTAAGTCCTATTTTACATAAAACCTGTAAAGCGTCTCCTGTGTTTGTCATATTTGTACATTTCTAAAGTTCTTCATGTGTGTGTGTGTGTGTGTGTGCGCGCGTGCTCGCGCGCGCGTGTTTGTGTTTTGAGTCTCATTATTTTAAAATATGCTTATTCATCTGAAGGTGTTGAGACTAGCTCTCGCTTCCAAAACTTTATATATGTTGCTTTTCTAACGTTATACGACAGTAAACAGGTCTAGTAATACTGATGTTTCTTTATCTACGTTGAGACATTAATCGCTCTAGTCCAGGCGGTATTTCATATAGAAATTATCCCTATGAGTAAGGTATTAATGTGCACAGTTACCCTTTTGCAGTATATTATATATCTAAATATATTATAATATTAATTAATCAAAAGAAAAGAAAACAACGAATTTATTTTAGTTTAATTCTTTATTTTTGCATAACATTGTACAATACCAGTACTTGTATAAATATGCTACATTTTGCTGCTATTTCTATATATAAAAGACAAACTTGACAAAAATAAATGAAGTCAAGATTTTAAAACAATTACTTAAATATACACATATCTAAATAAGCACATGATCTAGACAAAAAAAAGCGTTTGTACGTCAGATATTGTGGTTTCTGGAAAATGAAGCAGACTTTATCGTAGTACGGGATGAGAGGGACGGGATGGGTCGGTCACGAATTTAGTTAGATATATTAATCATTTTAAGCAAAAATGATAATCAGATAACTCATACATTATCTCATTGAAAAAAAGAGATATATACATGTATATAAGTACTTTTTTAAATCTCAGGTGCCTGCTGTGCAAGTAAATATAAGTAACATTAAGAAAAAAGAATATCTATATGTTCCTATTTAGTTTTATATAAAACGGACAAGAAATGCGATACAATTAATGATTTTGATTAATTTAAACTGATAAAACTCAGTTAGTATTGTATTTGAAAAAAAAAAACACAATGAAAACAAAATATGTCTGTAAGAATGAAATTGAAAAAGGACATTTAAGGTAACTAAAATCAAAGGGTAAAATTGAAACACTGTCTTTTAATGTATATGTTTAGAGGTGAACATTAGACAGAAAATGATAATGAATATGTGAAAAGATTATTTAACATGCATGGTGAAGATGGGCAGTAGGTAATGTGTTATTTCAAACGGTAGGAACACTCCGGTATAGATTTAGTGTTAAAACTTTTATATAGGGTACAAATCCGACACACCAGGAAGGGCAATAAAAATCCAGGAAAAACTCTTCTGTTAAGGAACACTGTTATTAGAGACTAACTTTGAATGTATAGGATGGGTGGGCGTGAGAGTTAAGGCTTTATTAAAATACAAAACTAACAATCCAAACACACGGGTTTTCGGATAATATTTATATTTCGACCAGATGCTTGAGTCTGATGAAATAACTTCGGATATGGTTAGATAATTCAGGGTGGTCTCGTTAGTGTTCATAAATCATGTTGGTGTTCAAGAGGTGCGTATATGTTAAGATTATCAACAGGGTCAGTAAAAATAAATCTGCAACATTTCATTTCTGAGGTACTTTAATGACTACTTGTAATGACTTCTTTTTTGTCCTCTTTTTCATTTTCGAAATCCAAAAGTTCACCTCACAAAAAAATTATTTTTAGATTTATGCTGGCAAACGACATGATTTATGATAACACCTTAGACAAAACAAACAATCCATTTGCCCAAAAAATTTGGAATTATTTATGGTTAAATCATGCTGGATAAAAATGAATTACAGTAATTGATCCGTCATGACAGGTGGTAATATTATCCATATGACTGTGTACAATTTATTATATGATTTTCTGTCATTTCGCATGACCATAAGACTAAATTTGACTTCATGACTTCAAGAAATATCAGACATGTACAGTATTTTGCTGCTTTGTCAACCCGGTATTATTTTTTCTCCCAAAAGTGTCCTTGATCCGTGAACCAAACTAACAGATCTAAAACTTACAGAAACTACCAGATGTCATTTAGGATCAACACTCTAATGGTTACAATGAAGAGTAAAGTATGAAGAAACAAGGGAAATGTTAATCGTTTCACTTAATGACAGTTTTTTTCAGCTTGTCAAAATGGACAATTAACTTTCTAATGTTAAGGACTCTATTTTAGATAAGACGCTAATTTATAGTTTAAATTTATAGCATTTTGTTAAATATACATGACATAATATAAACTAAGCTTGAAAATATAGGATGAGAAACGAAGAGAATAAACTTTGCTATTCTTATACGACATTATGTTTCATGGTGAAATAAAAAGTATCTTCTTTTATCATATCAGGCAAAACGTTTGAGTTTATAGTGTACAAAAGTATTGACTGAATTTTGAAAAGAAGGTTGAAAAAATCAAACACGTTGTCTGAAATTTTATTTCAAACATGGCTAATTAAACTAGACACATTTGACAAATGTTGGCATTATTACGTGGGTAGGGTTAAAATTGCGGGCTTGGTGGTTATATGTGGTGTAGTTATCTAAGACGTAGTGATATTAAAACTATACAAAGCTCATTATTGATATGTGATACTAATGAAATACATTGAAGATTTTCACGTTGTCTTTGAAATGACGTAAACTGTGCTTAATAGACATATATATTATGAATGAAAAATAGATGACACAATGAAAAATTTACTGAGTTGATATTATGATGTTTGATCATATGATGTATTAAAAACCTATTGTTTACTATGATTAATTAAATTTTAAGTTTGATAAGGACGTAAACAGCATTTCGCTTCTCCTGACTGTCAGAATCTCAGTATATATGGATAACACGTGTTAATTATAATGCCCAAGTAAGATACTGTGTTCATATGATTTTAATGTAAAAATCATATCTAAAAGATCAAATAAGCTCACTCTCTATATATTAAAAGCAAAACTCGTCCAAAGAGAACATGAAATACAAGAAGAGAAAAAAAAACACGATGATGTCTAGCGAACATTTTCAGATCATTGGAACAATACTGTGTAGTCTATTTCTTCCACTCGTGACCTCGCATCACTTTCTTTATAAAATCTGGAAAAAAAAAAAGAAATTAGATGAACATCGTTAGAGAAAAAAGTACAATCTATCCATGGTCAGTGACCTCCACTCTATTTCAGCCAATATAGGCATAAGACTTACAGTTAAAAACAAAAGACATCAAAATACTATGCAAATATGATTATAACGACATGCTGTTACAACCAAGAAGTTATTTACTGCATGTCATTTAAAGGAAAATCTATTACTATACCCTAATGCATTAATAAGTAGAATAACTAGAATTATCTTCTTCTTTTTTTTATTTTAAGGGATGTTACTGATAAGGAAGATAGAGTGAAGTTTAATGAATGCAGAATGATTTTAACAAGAACATGTATATCAGGAGTTGACATAAGCTGTTCAAATTTTAAAACAGCAAGTGATAATAAAACATATCTTTGTCCTCTCAGTACTGAAGTGAGAAGATTTTAAAACATAATGGAATTCATCATCAAGTTAATGACTACTGCAGACTGTGCACATCACTGTTAATTAAGGCCTGTTGGACCGTATTTGGTACAAAAACGAATATGGTACAAATGTACCATATTCGGTCGAATATGGTACAAATGTACCATATTCGGACCGAATATGGTACAATTTTCGACCGAATATGGTACAAACATTGTACCATATTCGGTTGGAATAAGTTTTTCTATGCTCGCCAAAACGTATTTGGTACATACCAAAAAAACTCATAAAATGAAAATGGCCTACGTATATGGTACATAAATTATGTATTTCTTAATAAATGAAATAGTCTGCCGATGTGTAAACTTTTTTTCAAACTCAAATACATTGTATTAACCTAATATTGGAAGTGACAAAAGTATCATCATCATCATCATCATCATCATCATCATCATCATCATCGTCGTCGTCGTCGTCGTCGTCGTCGTCGTCGTCGTCGTCGTCGTCGTCGTCGTCGTCGTCGTCGTCGTCGTCGTAACTAGCAGTAACAGAAACAGCTAACCTAACCACACTTTACATGGATTTTGCTGGTTGTGTAACTGTTTCGCCGGCTAGCTCAGTCGGTTGCGCGTCAGATTGGCACGCAGGCGGCCTGGGTTCGATTCCCGGGCGGGCCAGATACTTTCGTGGAGATTGGTCACGAAATGATTTCTACGGCCATTCTTCCCCTACCGCTGTTTCAAGTAGGGCAGTTGTCAATTACTGGCGAATGTATCTGCTTAGTACTGGTTACTAAGTACTAGTACTCTAAGACTAGAGACGTGCTTGCTCCAGGTAACTCTGTAAAAGTTTGAGGATTATCGCATTTTGGTTATGTTCATAGAGTGTGAACTTGTAAGGGTAAAGGTAGGCGAGCAAATCCATGAAGCGCGCCAGCGCTTCTAAAGGTAGGCGAGCAAATCCATGAAGCGCGCCAGCGCTTCTTGGAAAATTTGATCGTTTAATACCCCTCGGTATTAATGCTTATATTTTAATACATTTTAATAATAATTGGTAGGTTTTGTCCAGATATGATTGCTTTAAGCAAACGTCGTTGCAGGAATGTCGACGTCGCATTCGATTGGTCGAATGAAGTCGCGTCAGCCATATTAATGATTTCGACAACGGTGACTCCGGCGACAACGGTGACTCCGGCGACAACGGTGACTCTGGCGACAACGGTGACTCCGGCGACAACGGTGACTCTGGCGACAACGGTGACGTCTCTGTGTGTTCAGCCCTGAAAGAGCTTCAAGATATGATAAACAATAGGAGGGCACAGAGGCGAACGACTTTTCCATTTCTGATGTTACCACTTCACATTCAAGTTGAAATTTTTAAGTTCTGCATACAATCAAACCCGTCAATCCAGTTTGTGTTGGCGAAGGTCGGCAAACCCTTTAGAGATTTAATAAGGTCAATGAGTTTGCAAACACCTAGAATTTACATTCGGCCGGATATTGGACTAGATACTAGTAACAGAAATCCTGTTAGCGTTCGTTTCCTATTAACAAGAGCGGGCAGAAACAGCGGTCTTATTTCGGCAATAAAAGAAATCATCAAGGGGCCAAAATGGGCAAACGCATGGCTGCGTTTGCGTGTTAGTGGAATCGGTTGGTATGATATCATAGATGTCATGTACAGACATTACAGGTGAAATATACATGTATATCGGTGTTTGGAAACCTGTTATGTTATTTTTGTGATTGATGATTTGTTGTCATTTGCTCATTTAATGGTAACTTTTTACGAAGCACATTTGGGATATTTTGGCTGCTACTTAAATGAATGTATATATGTATATTATGTCTGGTCAAAATGCTACAGTTGGATTAAAATTTAAATGCTGTTCTATGTTCTTCAATATTACTTTGAAAAATCCTGTCAGTATACCAATAAATGAAAAAAGTACAAGTTTGTTGAATCTCTTGAATGAAACAAATTATAAAATACAAAATGTAAAATGAATATGTGATGATGATGATGATGACAAAACATTTGTGATGATGATGATGGTAAAAAAATTGTGATGATGATGGTGGTGGTGATGATGATGACAGTGGTTATGATGATTGGGGTTTGATGATTGTGGTGATGATGATGATGATAATGATGATGATGATGATGATAACAAACGTTTTGGGATGATGATGACAGCGATGTTTATCGGACGATGATGATGGTTATAATGATGATGATAAGATTTTAGATGATGATGACGGCGATGTTTATCGGCCGACGATGATGATAATGATGATGATGATAACAAAATATTTGTGATGATGATGATGGCGATGTTTATTGGCCGATGATGATGATGATATTCTCATCGTCGTCATCATCATCACAACATCCTCATTATCGACCGAAAACATCGCTGTCATTATCATCACAAGAAAAACTTTTGTGATCACCATTACGATCATGATAATGGATATGATGATGTTTGTTTTGATGGTGATGTTGATGGTGGTGTTGGTGAAGATAACAACGATGATGATCATTGGGGTGTTGATAATTGATGTGATGATGATGATGATGATGATGATGATGATAACAAACGTATTTTGATGATTATGACAGCGATGTTTATCGGTCGATGATGATTATAATAATGATGATGATTATGATGACAAATGTGTTTTGATGATGCTGACGGCGATTTTTATCGGTAGATTATGATGATGATGATGTGCTGACCGTCGTTATCATCATTACAAAACTTTTGTCATCATCATCACCATCGACCGAAAAACATCGCAATTATCATCATCACATTTTTGTGATCTTCATTACGATGATGATAATGGTGATGATGATGATGGTGTTGATGATGATGATGACCTTGATGATTGTGGTGATAATGATGGTGATGATGATGACAATGATGATAAAAGTTTGTGATGATGATGATGACGGTAATTTTGATCGTCGTCATCATCATCAAAACTTTTGTCATCATCATGACGATGATGATGATAATGGCGTTAATGGTGACGATGATGATGATGGTGTTAATGGTGACGATGATGATGTAATTGATGATGATGACAATGGTGATGATGATTGGGGTTTGATGATTGTGATGATGATAACTGCGATGTTTATCGGCCGATGATAATGATTATAATGATGATGATGAAAAAAGTTTTTTATTATGTTGCCGCCAATGATTACCGGCCGCCGATGATGATGATTATGATGATGATGATGATGATGCTGATGATGATGATGATGATGATGATGATGACGATGATGATTATTTTCATGATGGTATTGATGACGTTGATACAAATTGTAGTTATGATGATGATGATGATGATGACGATGATGATGATGACGATGACGATGATGATGGTGATGATGATGATGATGATGATGATGATGATGATGAGATGACGATGATGATTATTTTCATGATGGTATTGATGACGTTGATGCAAATTGTAGTTATGATGATGATGATGATGATGATGATGATGATGATGATGATGATGATGATGATGATGATGATGATGATGATGATGATGATGATGATGATGATGATGATGATGATGATGATGATGATGATGATGATGATGGTGATGATGATGAGATAACGATGATGATGATGATGATGATGACGATGATGAGTGTGTACCATATTCGGAACGAATGTGGTACATTTTTCATCCGAATATGGTACAAGTTTGTACCATATTTGGTCAGGCATTTTACCCCAAAACTGCAGATACGTATATGGTACAATTAGACAGTTGTACCATATTCGGCCGAATATGGTACAAATTTGTACCATATTCGTTTTTGTACCAAATACGGTCCGACAAAGGCCCCAAAGGGAATTTGGGAATTTTCCTTTTTAAAACAAAAACAAACAAAAAATTTAGACATTTCGAAGAATCATTCGCAGAACTGTGCCAAGATTGCAAAACATGGTCTTGTAAAAAAAGACTTTAACTTTTCTTTAAAAAAATGATACATGAAACAGACTTAACTAACCAATATTCTGAGCAACCAATTTTGTCGAACAAAGTTTTAATATCTACAAGCTACAAGCCAAGAGCTTGTAAATTCATTCTTGGAATGCATATTATAGACAACCTTAAAGAAAAGTGAAAAAAAAAATCTTTTTAGGCTTTCCTATAATTACTCCAATTTAAAAAGTTAACATCTGGAATTAACTTTTTGTTCAATTGAGGTTACACCCGATTCGTCCAATACCAAAAACAGTTCTGATATTTGATTGAAGATTCAATGTCATATTGTGAACTTGCAGTTCCAACTGAGAAATAATAGATGTATCTTTACAACCACAGACCCATACGATAGACTATGAATAATTATACTTTCAAACAAACGTAACTGTAAGTCTTATGCTTAACCGTGCCTTTTAAATATCAATATCAGTGTAAACTTTGCCTTTCTTGCATATTAAATAACAATTATCTGGTTTGAAAGAAAATTCCCATCAAAGTAAAACCCACAAAACAATCTTTCTCCATACACCCATTACAAGTATGAATATCAAAAGTCAAGCAAATATCAATTAAACTATCACAAAAATATTACAGATGGACTCTTTTGGAAAAAAAATAAATCTTAAAACAGGAAACCCTTTTTATTTGAGAATATCTCCATTTGTTTTAATAAAAAAATCATAAGTAATTGGCTCATTAATACACACAAATTCTGTGTAAGTCAGTAGTTTATCATTATTAAGTGTATTTTTTAAGTTACGCGTACTTTGATTGTGTGCTAGCATTAAGTTTGTGATACTGTATTTCTCTTTATACGACATTGACGTCAGGATACGTCGTTTCCTCTGAAGGCAAGATATAGATGCCTATATCAGTCTGTATAAGGTATCATCATAAAGACTGACCCGGGTACGTATGTCAAAGACTTTCAATTTTCTTTGACTATTTAACAAAGTTCCATGACAGTTCATATATGTAACATGGTCAATATTGATGTATATTTTAGTAATTAACGCAACAATATAGTATATATATAGAGATACATACCTTCATATTTTAGATTACCGTCAATATCAGGCTGTGTGTCTGTATCCGTCATTATGGCATCTGTTTCTGCGTCCGTCAATCGTTCACCTACAATGATCATGTCAGCCGATTTAATTCATTATTAAAATCGTTCTATTTTTTTTATGAATATTAACTTTAAGCTATCACCTTAAAGACCCGATCCATTAATTTGGTTAGACATTGTGAACACAATACGCAGCCATGATTGTAACTTAATTTTCAAAGGGTGTGGTCTCAATTGTTGTTATTATACTTTAGTATATACTTTTTGTATTAATATAGTTTTCTTCATTGTATCATAGATTGTACAAATTATCAACGATACAAAAATCACAGTAATCAGATATACCCATTGCTGACAACATATAATTCATCTCCCCGGCAGTTATAAATCCCATGCCTTCTCTATCGAATGATTTAAACGCCTCGCAGAACTCAGCATATGTACCAGTGTCTTCAATTTTCAGAATTGATTTTACAATTGGAAGGAACTCTTCGAAACTGAACTGTTTTTCTCCTGTTAAATAAAACAAGAGGGCCAAGATGGCCCTAGATCGCTCACCTGACCCGTCAAACTCATCCGAACAATTACCTAGACAAGCGTTCTGACCAAGTTTCATGACAGGTGTGTCAAAAATGTGTCCACTAGTGTTTACAAGGATTATCCATATTTGAGCAGTGTGACCTAGTTTTTGACCCATATTCGAGCTTGACATTCGAGCAATTACCTAGACAAGCATCCTGACCAAGTTTGATGATAATTGAGTCAAAAATGTGACGCTAGAGTGTTCACAAGGTTTGTCTATTTTTAGCTCCTGTGACCTAGTTTTCCATCCGAGATAAATCATGTTCAAACTTATCCAAGCATCGACTAGACAAGCATTCTGACAAAGTTTGATGATGATTGGGTCAAAAATGTGACCACTAGACTGTTCGCAAGATTTTTCTATTTTTAGCTCCTGTGACCTAGTTTTCCACCCGAGATGACCCATGTTCGAACTCATCCAAACAATTGACTAAACAAGCATCCTGACAAGGTTTCTTAATAATTGGGTAAAAAATGTGACCACTAGAGTGTTCACAAGGTTTTTCTATTTATAGCTCCTGTGACCTAGTTTTTCATCGGAGATAAACCATGTTCGAACTCATCTGAGCAATTGACTAGACAAGCATCCACACTAAGTTTGATGATGATTGGGTAAAAAATGTGACCACTAGAGTGTTCACAAGGTTTTTCTATTTATAGCTCCTGTGACCTAGTTTTTCATCAGAGATGACCAATATTCAAGCTCATCTGCGCAATTATCTAGACAAGCATCCTGACAAAGTTTGATGATGATTGGGTCAAAAATGTGACCACTAGAGTGTTCACAAGGTTTTTCTATTTTTAGCTCCTGTGACCTAGTTTTTCATTAGAGATGACCCATGTTCGAACTCATCCAAGCAATTGACTAGACAAGCATTCTGACCAAGTTTGATGATGATTGGTTCAAAAATGTGACCACTAGAGTGTTCACAAGGTTTTTCTATTTTTAGCTCCTTTGACCTAGTTTTCCATCCGAAATGACCCAGTTTCGAACTCATCCGAGCAATTGACTAAACAAGCATCCTGACACAGTTTGATGATGATTGAGTCATAAGTGTGACCACTAGTGTGTTCACAAGCAATTGTGGACGTACGACGGACGACGGACATTCACCGATCCTAATAGCTCACCCTGAGCAAGCTCAGGTGAGCTAAAAAGTATTACATTAAAATTATTCATTAAAACATATATAGATCTATACAGTTATTTACGCAATGTATAGATTTCAATATGACTTTGAAAACGTGTTTTTCATCGTTACATTTTTTCTTATTGTAAAAATAATTTCTACAGTAACATGAAGTTTTTTCTCCTTTTTTAACATCGTATATTAGCTTTTTAAAGTTACGCCATAAACGTCATCACGACCTAACAAGCATACAGGGAGCATAAAATTAATGTGGTGCGCAGTGAGAGTAAGTAAAACACAAATGTTCTCGTGCGAAATCTGTATTTGACAGCGTCATATAGCGCAGAAAAAGGAAAGATGATTTTAGCTAACCTCGGATGTTACAAACTTCAAAGCAACACCAGGGGTCGAAACCACCTCACGTGCTGTGCTAAGAGATGCATATACTCCAATTATTTGAACCCATTTACTCGCCTTTTACAATCACGTAGGGATAAACCATTAACAGTAACCGCTCAGCCACAAGTGGCCCGAAATCTTTAAATACATATATAACAAAGTTATGGTAGAATTTTATGAACCTTTGAAATTTTCACTTTGGAAATCATCGTATACATGTCATTTTTTATCATTGCAATGTAAATGACTTATGCATGATACTGTCGACAATAAACCCGTCTTTTTCTTCTCTTTTTTTGGATAAAAAATAATTGAACCTGACCTGGTTTTTCAGTGCCACCGTGTTTCTTAACAACCGCGACTGTTGGGTTCAAGCCTAAACATCTCAAGAGATCGCCAACTTTCTCAGCACCTATCAATCCGTCTCTGCCATCCCAAAAATCGAAAAGGTCAAACACCTCGCGAACGTCTGAAATATATACATTGTAATAGCATTTATAAAGCTTTAAGAACTATTTACCTTATATATATCGTTGTCGGAATGATACAAACTGTACTCTAGAATTAACTTCGGAAGCGCCAAGTGCTTTTTTTGTTTTTTTTGTTGTTGTTGTTGTTGTTTTTTTGTTCGGGTTTTACGTTGCACCAACACTGTCAAGCTCATATGGTCATTTCTAGCTTTATTGTGGGACGAAGACCTCAAGTGCCCCTCCGTGCATTATTTCAGGCCCGAGCGGGCACCTGGGTAGAACTACCGACGTATGGTTCGTAAGCTAGTTGGATAGCTTCATTACATGAAAGAATCCAATGACCTTGCAACCACTCAGTCAAAGACTCTATTACATGCAATTAAAAGGATAAAATATTTTCACTGAAAGTGCAGTAAATGATTAGAACGGAGGTAGGTTAATGTAAATGACAAGTCGCTGAGTTATCGCAGTCAACACATGATCAGATAGAAATACCAATGTCATGATAAAGTAAATGGCAAAATTTATAGCTTCCATACAACACTGGGATCTGCTGTAGTTAGTATCAAGAGTAAGAAAATATAATTGAGCCACAGTGAAAACAAGATTTATATACTCTGTTACTTTAAAAGTATTTACAGTGAACTTTTCTCAATATTTCATGCATCCACCGGTTAGAGCAATACATGTATTCAATTTTATTGACAAAGAACATTTAAACATCTTGCAACTCATGTAAGTACATAATGTACATGATTGTCTTTTTCAACTAAAACAACAACGACGTCGTTTTTTGCATTTATAACACCTTCCAATTCACGGCATACCTTACCACTAAAATTATCCAGATAAAATCGTCGGTTTTTGTAATATTTGTGCGATCAAAGTCAGCACTGTCAGACAAACCCTGACATTCTAGTTGTTTCACTGCCAATATAATCTGATTTAAAACCATTCACCACTGATCTTCACTGATTTGTATATATAGCAAATTTTCACATTTGAAATTGAATAGTTAAAGATGCAATGAATTCTTGTGTTAAAAGGTTTTTGTTTTTAAGTTCACCTATAAAACGTGAAAGTCTAGGAAATGTTTTGCTATGGTTGCACATATTCCAATCTCAGCGCATTTTAAGTTTATAGATTTAAACACAAATTAAATGATGATAATTGATCTTGTTGATTTATTTCAAGTACAATTTATTATTGTTGTCTATGGCACCGTTTTAGAGTAAACCTAGTCTGCATTTTCTTACATGAACAAGTTTGATACTAATTGTTATTCAGTTTCTTTTGTGCTATATAATTATAATTTCTTTAAACATTTAATGAGCATGATTTCAGCAGAGAAACAGGTGAAATGTAAAAGCGACTGGTGAATTGCATAAAATGAGGATAAAATTTAAAGATTAATTTCTTTGATCCTTCACTAGCTGAACCAAAATAGACTGGTCTTGGTTCCCAGTATAGAGCACGGCAAGTTGGTACATCCCACAGGTGGCAGTATCAGTGTTTGGACACCCAACTCAACCCCGCCCCTGGACACCTGCTACAACCCTGAAAAATCTAGACATTGTGAGTACAACAGAACGCCGTTACAGTATATCTAATTTGTTATATTTTTTTACGAAAAACTAAGAACAGATATACCGTAACAGCGTTCTGTTGTACTCACAATTTCTAGATTATCGAAACAAACATACCATTATTCAAAAATATCATTCTTTTTTTTTTCTTGATTCTCTGGACTTTATTCGAACGACCTTTACTTTATTATACTAGATGTATCGATGAAGTTATAGGTCCTGAGTAAAATGGATCATACGAAGAAGAGTTGCATTTGAATATTTGAATACATTTTTATTCAAAACTACGGAATAAGGTGCATCATTTACTGACACACGTTCTAGAATAGAATAAAATAGAATGGAATCATGGCAATGGAATGGAATCATGGGAATGGAAAGGAATTTTAAAAACCCTTCACTAGAATAAATCAAATAATCATGAATAAATCAGAATTACATTTAAAGATATTTACTTTTAATTCAGCGGTTGTGCATTTAGAGAAATTAATGCTATATTGATAATTTCTGTCTTGAAAAGACACAATATTGTAGCAAAGTATTCTTATAATCGCAGTGATAGATTGGTTTGTAAGATCTCTGTTTTTACAATAAAATGGTACCCTATTTATCATGAATGATAGACCTTGGAATTCCGTCTGTAATTAAGCCAGTTGGAAGGTAATAAACGGCGTTTCCTGATTATCTGTAATGATTTAAATTCCATACAAAACTCTGTTTGAGAATCTGGGAATAGACGTATAAATCACTATAATAAATTATATTTTAAGAACAAATATCCATAAATAAATAAGTTTGTTTATTTGAAATTTACATACTTGACGTGTTTGTTGTTGTTTTTATTTTGTGTTTTTTATCTTGAGTATGAAGTATGTGTGCAGTTGAAAATTGAATAGAACTGATAAAATAGGAAATACTTGAAATACTTTGGTAAATGCTCAATGAATTAATTCATGTTGTATTATTTTTGACAGTCTGTTTACCCACTGGAAGAGGGAACGTTATGTCCTTTAAATATCCAAACATTGCATATAACACCGGGTGTCATCGAGTGAAAATGTGTGAGAAGGACTTGTAACTACGAGAAAACAATGAAAGAAACATCAAATACACCACAAAATAGACACAAAAATATGTTACATTTCTTTTTTTTTCTCACAACCGCACACTCAGACTTCAAATCGATTTGCAATACACAAAGCACTTTGAAAATGCAGGGTCTTTCAAGCAGAATTCTATTTGAAAGGTCTTGGAAAATGTGATAAAACATAATAGTTTTGTTGTTATATTTTCTGGTCATACAGGATCATTGATTCCAGTACAATTAAGTGTTGAGAATTGAGAACCGCTCAAGTCGGTGCTAGTGGGCGTGAGGTATGTTGCACTTATTCATTATCCTTCATGTACAACCTCAATGAAACCGAATCTGCAGTTTTCATGTAATTTTGTTGTGATTAATGCTTCCCAGGGATTACTTTGTATCCAGATTGTTGTCAATGGTAAACAGTTCTTGCATACAGGTTGTATACCAGTCAGCAGAGTATCTAACACTTTTAATTAAAACAAATAACAAGACGAATGCCAACAAAATACTTAAAACTTCAATATAACAACTAATAAAACGTTCAGCATACAAGATTGTTTTGAAACTGATATCAGAATTATGATTTCGGAATATACTCTTGATAAATATTGTGTTTTATTGCCAGTATGATTTATTGAATATCTACACGATATATTATAATATTACACCTGTTTTGATAATATTGATGCCGTCATTATTCACTTAATTGAATTTGAATTACATACACCGGAAGTGCCTATGCCTGTTTTAATGTTCATGTCGGTATGTGTTCTGGGCGGTGCTCAGCTGGTATCAGTATGTGTTTTGGGCGGTGCCAAACTGATGTCAGTATGTTTTGAAAAAAGGGTGAGAGCGTAAATAAAGTCCTTTTTTAAGATCTTCAGGGTGAAAAGTCCGGTGATTGCACTCGAAATAAATATTGTTTCGAACATTTACGAAGAAGTTTATTTAATTTTTCCTATAAAATATGTATAGAGGCTGAATCATTAGATTTAACACAAATTCACTTTTCTGTACCACGTACTTCGAGCCTGTTCATTTACGGTAATAAAAAATGTAAACCACTGTCCAAGCCCACTAGCACCGTCTTAAAGTGACATTATACTCAAATTTTCATAGTCAAGTTGAACTTAATTGACTTTATATTTCAAAAGATTGACTGTCAAAATGGTGTTTGACCAACAGTTGATATTGGAAAATGTTTAGAATAAAATTATAAATCTGCCTAAAATTTAAAAAGACTGCCCCTCTCTTTTTACAAACTATGCGAACTTGATTATTTAATTAAAAGGGATTATGGCAAAATGAAAACATATTTTGATCTTCACCCGTTCACTCACTATATACCCTTGGATGGGCATAATGTCACTTTAAGTAGAATTAATTACTTACAAATCTTACTATAACCGATATCATTTTTTACGTATCGACATTAATACGGTATCAATGTTTTCACACTAATAGCTAACATTGATTGTTTTATACATTGCAACAATGTTGTATATCTTGCACCACTGATATTGACTGCGCGTTTCTTGAATATTTTCTACATTAACTGAAATTGTTTATAAAATTGCCCGATAAAAATGCCAAGAATTTTAGTTCCAGTCAATTTCTTTTAATGAGAAGCATGAACAGCCTGTAGAAGATAGGTGGCATGAATATAAACACAGCGTCTGTTTACAAACATTCGCTGAAATATTTGAAGAGTTGAAGAGCAGACTGGAAAACAATACACTCCTCACAAATAAAACACAAGTACTTTAATATTGCAAAGAATCCAAAAATATTGAATGTAAACTTGTTAATTAACTGAAGCTTAAATATGATTGCTTTTTAATTGCACGTGCGAATTGTGCCGAATTAACCGAAAATAATAGTGCAAAGGGTATCTAAACCTTACACTTATTTTATGATATGTGAAGATGTAAATTTATTTGATACAATGATTTACACATCAGTATGTATTATACGACTTACTTATTTGATAAAACCAATCAATACATTCGATTTATCTTAAGGTATGGCGCTCCTAAATTTTAGTATTTTAGTGACTAAAAAGTAGGAAGGCAACCCCAAAATTTATTCCATCATTTTGTTTCAATCATAATTTTCCTCAAGCATGCAATTGTATTCAGTCAATGTCAAAAAAGAATTTGATATCATGGTTATGAATATGTGTGTTGGAGGTTCCTGGAGGCAAAGCTGCGCTGTTTTCGCGTGCAAGATGTTGTCTCTGTCAGACAGGAGCAGGAACTAAGTATCAATATTAACGGAGCAAAATAATTTGAGCATATCATTCTATAGGTGGAATAATTGAAAAAATCTA